GGGACGGCGATGGGAAGAGACGTGCAGGGACTGGGGGGACCACCCTGGGAGGGGGGCAGGGAGGGGAGCACACGGGGGGCTGAGCGCAGCCAGGGACCCCCAGAGCAACACCCGGGTGACCTGCAAAACGCAGCCGTGGGTGGTGGAAGAAGGGATCTGCTGGGGTCACTGATGTCCCTGCCAGGAGGCTTAGGGGTGAGCAGCCACCGCACGGCACGGTGAAGATCTCTCTTCCCCGCTCTCCATCACTCCCGCACTGTGCTGAGGTCACGACGGGTCCTGGATGGAGAATCCCGGAGACCAGACCCCGCACTGCCCAGGACAGGCTGAGCCTGGCCAGGAAGGGGCACCTCAGCTTGCAAGAGGACATCAGTAAAATCAAGCAAACGGTGCTGGTGCACTGGGCTGCCCTGGGAGGAGCAGGAGTCCCAGATGAGCAGCAGCCAGAGGGTTAATGCGTGCACAGCGGCAGGAGGGACACCCTGGCACCGTCTTGGCCCCTCTGCCTGAGCAGCAACCTGGTGTGGGTTTGGTTTCTTTGTTTGCTTCTCTTCCCCCACTACGTAACTGTTTAATCAGAGCAGCAGCCGGCCAGCTAGCGCCTTCCTTGCATTTGCTAAATCGCAGTTCCCCCAACTGTGATTTTTGCAGATCCAGGGGAAATCTTTAATTGGCTGCTGCGCAGCCCCCGCTTACAAAATAGCGCCAGCCTCGCCAAAAATATCCGCAGCCTGAAGGAGGGAGTTGCCAGGAAAAGAAAGAATCTGCTATTAAATATTTTGATGGTAGAATATTAGTGATAAACCTGGTGATTCTCCTTCCTGGCTCCCGCCTCCTTACGCTCCCATGGCTGATGCCCGAAACCTCGGCACTGGCCACTCCGACTGATTTGAACGAGGAGCTGCAGGTTTCCACGCTGAAACCTCGCCGGATGGCAGGCGGCCGCTCTGTGCCACGCTCTCCAGAAAGGCACAGATCATTGGTACTGCGGTGACGCCGAGCAAGGCCCACGAGCTCTGGCATCTCCCCCCTCTCCAAACCCCATGGGAGAGGTCTCTGGGGTTAACTGGGGAGTGGGCTGGGCTGGATTCCAGCGGGTAGGAAGGGAAGCAAAGAGCGATTGCAGCAGCACCGGGGAAAACCTGAGCAAATGTTCTTGCTGCTGAGAAAACATGAAGCTTCCCCTGCCCTGGCGATTGCTTGTGCTTTCTGCCGGCGGCTGGGCTCGGGGCTGCAGGGTAAGAGCCACTTGGCCGCAGCGTGCAGGTCGTTTGTCAAAGGCACTTTTGGGGTGAGAGGCCCATTTATTTCCATTATCTCGCGTGCTCGGTGACCTCCTGGTTGGAGCTGTGGTCTTTTCTCCATCCCCAGTGCCTGAGGCACAATGTTGCTGCCAGCCACCCCTTCAGCCCTCCTCCGACACGTCCCTAATGAGGGTGCTGCAGGCTCTGAGCCTGCCTTCCCCGTGCTGCGCCCCTCGCCGTGCACCGCCCCACGGCACCTTACCTGGCCCAGTCCTTCAGGTCCTTCACGGAGAGCATCTCGCCCTTGCGCAGCTGCACGACAGCACTGACCCGCTGGCCCCAGACCATGTCTGGAGGCCCGATCACGGCCACGTCTGCAGAGAGAGCAGAGGACTCGGCCTGAGAAACCCGAGCAATTTCTGGGGTCAGGAGCGGGGTAGAAGAGGGGCTCAGCACCGCTGGTAGGTGCCAGCAGCAGAGGCGTGCGGGGAAGAGCAGTGCGTGGAGGAAGATGCCGTGGGACATTAGTACAGGAAAACACCGGGACTTCTGTGCTGACAAAATTTCCAAGAACAGAGCTTTTCACGAAGGAAAAGGCAGGAAGCCTTGGTTTGAGCAACTTAGAGTCAACAGGGAGGAATATGATGTACGGAGTGCTGTGGAGCTGGGGCACCGCTTCCATCCCCTTGTATGGGGTCATGTGCAAGGGCAGGACAGATTTAATGATAGTCTCATTTCCAAAATCAGGTGAGAGCTGCTGCTGACTCGGCCGCAGGCTTCACGGCTTCAGCCCCGGGAGACAAGTAACAGTGGGCTTTAAATGCAGCCTGCTCTTCACTCAGACCCAGCCTTGCTAAGGGGAGGGCTGGGAAAGAGCCCCCAGGCACGAGCCCTCGGGCAGCCTCGCATCTGCACCTGCTGAGCCAGGGCTGTCACTAGAGCCAGGCTCCCGTGCACCGTCCCTTCTCGGCACGGCTCGGGGACCGCAGCGTACCTGTGATGTGCGGGTGCGCGAGCAGATGACGCTCCACCTCCAGAGCGCTGATTTTGAACCCCCCGTTTTTAATGATGTCTACCGAGGTGCGGCCCTTGATCCAGTAAACGCCGTCTTTGTATACTGCCGTGTCTCCTGAAAAGCAAAGCGGGCTCCATCAGAGGCTGTCCCCTTGCTTCTCCTCTGCCTTTCCTGACATGTGGATGTGACACCTGGACGATGCCCCGGGCGGGCGCTGAGCCCGGCTCCCTGTACTGGCACGTGGGGAGAGCCACACTCAGCACCACGGTCACCAGCACCTCTGCAGAGACCCCAGGGAAGGGCTGTCAGCCTTCCCCACACGACAGCCTGCTCCCAGGGTCACGCAGAGGGGAGACAGCCATTGCTTTTCTGTGGAGGGAAAGGGAAGAATAAGGCTATGCACCCAGAAGTCCTTTAATATGGAAGCAATGAAAATAGGAGCCATCGCTGCAGGTGGGTACGTTCCCCAGCGCACTCTCAACATGGACCACAAGGCAAGCGGGCTCCAGCTCACCCCTTCCTTGTCTTCCTGGCAATCACCAGTCACAAAGTCCTCGGTTGCCCCGATCCGGTAGGACGTGACTCCTCCTGGATCTCTGCCATCACCAGGGCTGCTCAGCCCCCACCGCATAGTCCCCAGCCTCCTCTTCCTCCCACCCGCTCGCCCGTGCCAACGATGAGACACCCGCCTCCAGCAGCCTGCAAAAGCCACGGTGGGTCTTTCCTCGCAGCTCCAGCGCCGTGTGCGTGCCCCGACCACAGCCACCAGCCCCTGCCATCCCTGGAGCAGCCCTTGCTCTGGGGACTTCCAGCTGCTAATGCTACTGCTCGCCAGGGGGGCTATCCCCCGGCTATCCCCCACTCCTGTGTGGCTACTACTAATAAAAAAAGGTGGGGGATGACGTCGGGAAGACAAGACTGTCCTAAGCAACACGTTGGATCCGACCTGTCCTTTCTGCAGGGGGAGAAGGCGTGTGGCAGGTGTGATCCGGTAATTAGCGGCTCACGCCGAGGCTGGGAAGATTGAGGAGAGAGGTCACGTCAGCACAACCTGGCTAAATGCTTAACAAGCTGGTGTACTTTGATAGCTACTTAAGATGATTACTCACATCCTACTAATAGAGCCTTTGCCAACTGGTGGGCGAGGGGGGGCTCGGGACCTCGCATTTCCATTTCAGAGCCTTGATGGCAGCACCAGGGGGGCCCTTAGCTCTCCCCCCGCACGTCCGTCTCCATCCTCTCCTTAATGATACGCGCTGCCATTGTGTCCACACACCCGGCCCGCTCCCCGCTGCGGCTTCGCTCGCAGACCTCATTTCACTGCCGGCTGGAAAGCTCAAACGCGGAGATGAGACGGAGATTGGCAGTGGGAAAAAGCAGCTTCCAACAAAGCAGGGTGAGCCGGCACCGCTGGGGCTGCAGCAGTTCCCACGCTCGCTTGCCTTGCCCTCCGTCCAGGCACGTGTCCCAAATCCGGGGAACAAGGACAGCCTGGGGTCCTGGACCCCAGCACCCCGGCGGCTGGGAGCCCGCTGAGCCCGGAGGACCTGCTCCTGGGTGAAAGCTGTGCAAGGAGCACATGGGCGCTGGTTCGGGGCGAGACCTGGGGACTTTGTTGGGTGGCCCAGGGAAGAGCCTCCCCACTGCCAGGGACCGCGTGCACCCCAGTCCTCTCCTTCAGAGATGAGGTCCCCTCTCCTCCCGAGGACTCACAGTGTCACCCCGCAGAAGTGAGCACAGCCCACCGTTCGTGTCACTGAATGCCACCTCCGCCTCGCTCCCCTCCTTCCCAGTGCTCCTTCTACCCCCCCAGCGCTGCTCTGCAGCTCTCCCGGCACACTTCACAGCCCAGGGACCGTAGGACCCGGCTACGCAGCTTTACAAAACCCCGTTTCCAGCTCACCTCCGGCACGCCGCGGAGTTTGCATGTGGTGTGTGCAAAGGCAGTGAACGCCCAGAGATTTATGGTGTCAAAGCAATGAAATATCAGAATCAGTTCTGAAATTCGGGCTGCTCCCCAAAAGAGCTCTGTCCCCGCTCAGCTGGCACATGCAAAAATCTGGAGCAGCTCATCTTGCTCAGTTCAGCCAAGGAATGATTAATTGTTCCTGTATTTGCCTGCTTGCCTCTTGGCACCCTCCTGGATGTTGAAGGCTGTCTGGAATATTTTAAAGTTGTGGGAGAGTTTTAAACTCGGGCTCTCTGGGTGTTTGGCTGCTTGGGTTGAAAGGAATTCATGACTGCTGTGATAAACTACCTTCTGCGCCCGGTATCACTGTGGCATGTGTGACTGACACAGGACTGGAGAGTGAACATTAATTAAAACGTGGCACTGGGGGACCGGGGAGCCACGAGCTTTCAGCAGGGAGATCAGAAGCTGCTTATTCATACAGAGAAGACAGGGAGAGGAGAGGGAATTCAGACCTGATTCAATGACACACAGTTCCCATGTTGCTCTTCAGGATTTAAGCACACAAAAGCTGCCACGTTTGCATTTTCCCCCTGTTCTCAATGGGGAGAACGGTCCCAGGGACAGGTCCAAGGGACGGTTGGGTCCATGAGACAGACCTGGGTGGGGGCAGGAGATTTCTCTGCACCAAGGTCTCCCGATGTGAAAGCTGAAGGGCTCTGCGCCTGCCCGGACAACTCGCTCCCCTTATCTCTCCTTAGAATGAGCAAGGACTGAATTCACATCCCTGCGTGCCCTTGAGTCTGTCGGGGAGGTGTCAGCCACGGCTGATTTCTCTGGAGCCTGTTTGCAAAGCAAACTGCCAGGGCAGAGCCTGTCACCGGGGCCTCGTCTCTGCCCCACTCCTGTCCCCCCGTGCACGGGGCCCGGGCAGAGCGGGGCCCGGGCCGGGGGCCCGGGCAGAGCGGGGCACAAAAGCCCCAGCATTGCCTGGCCCCAGATCCCATTTCCAGCGAGGGAAGCCTCTGTGCTTTGCTTGCAGCAGAGGGATTTGAGGGCATGGCTGTACCATAACGAAACACCTGAGCCGGCAGCAGCCTGAGCTCCCAGCGCCGTGTGGAGTACCTGTCCCGGCCCC